AAAAAAAAAAAAAATCACAAAGTAACGGGAAAAAACGCGGCTAGCATCCTGGAGTTGAATCTCCCAGGGATCCTGGGCAGGTGTAAGGGTCTTGAGGGACCAGAAGGTGCTTCCCCGTCAAGGCCGGCCAGCAGCAGGGGACTGAAAGGTCGCCATGGGTCAACGCGGGTCCTGGGAGGCTGGCTACTCGAGGGCTCAGCATCCCGTGCGCAGGAGGAGTCACGGCCATGGCAACCCAGGTCGCTCTCCCTGGCCGGGGGCAGCAGGGTTGTGTTAGGCGTGCACTATGGCCGTGAGACCCCTGAGCCTCAGCGCCTTCACCGCCCCCAGCTGAGCTCCCGTAGATCCGCGCACGCGCTGCTGCGAGGAGGACGACGGGCGCGAAGGGCGGGGCAGCGCGGGGTCGCGCGCCTGCCCCTCCGCTCGGCGCGGGGACGCGCGGCGCGGGCCGCTAGGCTGTGGCGACGAGGTCGCGGCGGGGCGCGAGCGCCGCAGGTGACCGGGGCGGGGAAGCGGGGAAGCGGGCCGCGGCTGAGGAGCAGCAGGAGGCGGGAGGCGGGCCCTCGCTCGGCTGCTCCCACAGCCTTGGCTCTCTGGGCTGAGGAGACGAGCAGAGCTCAGGCGAGCGAAGCGCTCGGGCCACCCCGCTTGACGGCCGGCGGCGCCCGCGGCCCTGAGCATGTTCCGCGCGGCCAGGATTTTCCTCCCGCCAGTGGGCTGAGGCGGCCGAGGCGGTCGGAAGACGCGAGATGCACCTGCCGGGCGCGGCTTAGAGGACCCGGCAGGCGTGAAACCCCCAGCCGGCCGCGAGCGGGAGGGCTTTCGTCGCCGGGTCGTGGCTGCCTCACGCCACCGCCGCCGACTGGAGCCGGAGCGGCGAGGTGGGCGCCGGGACATGGCGGCCCGGAGCGCCCCGAACTGCCACCTGCGGCTCGAGTGGGTGTACGGCTACCGGGGTCACCAGTGCCGCAACAACCTCTACTACACGGCGGCCAAGGAGATCGTGTACTTCGTGGCGGGGGTCGGCGTGGTGTACAGCCCGCGGGAGCACCGGCAGAAGTTCTACCGGGGCCACAGCGACGACATCATCAGGTACTGGGGCGCGGGGGCTGCCGCCTTCACCCCTGCAAACCGCTCCCGGAGTTTGCACTTGCCTGCCCTTCTGTGTGTCGTGACCCGCTCCTGCAGGGGGCATCACCCGAGAGAGAAATCCGCAACCGTCTTGTCCCGAATTCACCCTAGCACCCCACAAACGCTTCCGATGTTTGCGTACTGGAGACTCTCGAGTCCTTGTGTTGGGATCAGGTGCGCGGATCCGCTAGGCGTTCTGTTTTATGGCTTGGTACCCTTCTCTATCCATCAACAGCAGAAAGGTTGGGTTGGTAGCATGCTATTCCTTAGAATCCTGTGAGATTTGTTATTAAACGACTTCTTAAAACGCCAACGGGAGAATCCTTGACCTAATAGAGAAATGATAAAAGTACAGGAAACCGAAGGCGGGACCTGGGAGCGCGCCCGGGGTGGCATCCTGAAGGGGGCACTCACCTCCTGACCACCATAATCAGTTCAGGTTTCACGCTTGCTCTTGGCCACTGGGAGCTCTGGTAGCATAGTGCCTAAGGCACTTGACTGCTCACCAGAAGGCTGGCGGTTCAAACCCACCAGCCACTCCTCGGAAGGAAGGT